CTCCCGGATGTGCTCTGCTCGCAGGCAGGTCAGCAGCCGCCCCGGAGGATGGACATCAGGCCGAACCACACCATCTACATCAACAACATCAACGACAAGATTAAGAAAGAAGGTATCGGTAAATCTAACAAACCTGAAGCGATTAAGAAGTTTTTCTCAGCAGTCCCAAGGACAGTCTTCCTAATCTACACAGAGAGTACATGTTTGTTACGTTAGCTTCTGACTTCACTGGCAGCACCCTGAGCTCTTTGAAGTGCCGAGTGGGTCGAGGTCCTGCACCGAGCTCTCAGCAAAGCGGCTGCTTGTGACGGAGGCGCAGCTCACGGCAAAAAAACGGAGCAGCAGCTCAAGTCAACAAGCACAGCGCAATGTTTAAGTCTTTTTTGTAAACCAGGGGCTGAATTTCTAAGGAAACTTCTGATTGGCTCTCCACTGTAGTTCTGTAACTCACCGCGTCGGCTAGGTTTGCTCAGCAGTGAATAACTGTAACGGTGGCAGTGATCAGAGTAGTCGATGGATCCTAAGCGGTGCGTCGGATGCGGGAGCACCTGTGCACTCCTCATTTGTGTTTAGCGCCATGCAGAAGCAGTGAGCATGGCATGAGCCAGCCTGCTTTGCACCATTGCGTTGGAGACGCTGTCGTGCCGTTACTGCAGCCCTCTAGAAACATCGCTTCGTGACGAGGGATTTTAGCTCTTCATAGTGTGCTATCTGGCTGTATATCCAATGTCCACATAAAACCAGCCACTTAATACTCATGCTTAGCTTGTAATCTAAAGTAATTGTGGTGATTTATTTGTTATTGTTTGTGAACGAAGTGGCTGGATCAGACTAGCACTACTTAAGTGTTTCTTCAGGGTGCTGCAGAGAGAGATCTGAAAGTGGAAACAGCTTTGCTGAGGAATTATTTATTAACTTGTCAAGATGGTTCTACTGAATAAATTTAACTTGAGGCTTTGTTTTTAACATGCATAGTGCCCTATAAACTAGTAAATCTCCATTATGAAATTGCATAGTTATAGTTGTTGAATGTAGGGTTTCAGATTGCCTGTAAAGCTTAAATACAGTTTTTGAAGTTATTTTTAAGGAAAGCATTTTGGTAAGAAAACCTTAAAAAGATATAGCACTGTGGCTGGTTGGAGAAAGTGAGAGTGGGGTGGTATTACAAAGTCTCAACAGGAATAAAAAAGAGGCAGTCCTCGTATGTTGCTGAAATTTTTCAAATGTAATTTGAATTTGCGAGTTAGAAGGATTATGCAATGCAGAGGATTTATTTAGCTTGATTGCATGTAGTCAGGTCATTTTAAATAATAAATCCATTGCAGCTCTAAGGTACAGTGTGATCATATGAAAACACACTTGGATCTAGACTATGAAAAAATATTTAATGTACATGAGAGAATTGATGAAACAGTTATAAACAAAATTTCCAAATTTAATTAGCCTTTAAGTAGTTACTATTTTGCCGTGTTCTTGTTTTAAGTCATACCTCTTTACTATGGCCTGTTACAGTATTGATTTTCTGGTCAGTCTTTGATGGTTGTCATACATCATACTTGAATGTATGACAGTGTGTGTATGTATATGTATGTGAAAAAAATGTATATACATACCCTTCGTAATTGTTACTGTTAGAATAGTAGAATGGATGGTGGTACAGTTTTTTCACTACCTGAATACTTGAGGTGTGAAATGGAGCATTATACACCAGCTGACAAAAACTGGGCAAATAAACTTGTACATGTGCAACAGTTTGACTAAACGCATGTAACATATCACTGTGTGAGCTGAAGCTGGCAAAAATCATTGTCCCTGAAGGACAGCAAACTCTGTAGAAACAGACATTTGCATGTATACCTGTTATAATCTATTTTTTCATATGGTCAACAGAACTGAAAAGGTCCCTGTATGCGTTATTCTCCCAGTTTGGTCATGTGGTCGACATAGTGGCTTTAAAGACTATGAAGATGAGAGGACAGGCTTTTGTTATATTTAAAGAACTTGGATCGTCTACCAATGCTTTGAGACAACTACAAGGCTTTCCGTTTTATGGGAAACCAATGGTAAGTTATTTTGTTAGCTTTTCAAAGAAAAAAAATGCCATGGTACGATACAGTATTTTGGTACTTGCACCTTGTGAATTAACTATCACATGTAATTGTACTCTTCAGTCGCGTCACATCTTGATGAGCCTATGTATTTATACAAGCTAGAGGGATGCCAGAGAGACTATAGTTAAAACACACACACAGAGGTGGAACTTAGCATTTCGGTTTCCTAAGTGATGGCTTGATGTTTTTCTATGCTGTATTAAATTTTTTAAGATCTTAAGTTCTTCTATTTTATTCATCAAATCTTCTGTTGAACTGATTAAATTCATTCTATAATATTATTGAAATGAGGTGTTTTCAGTTAATTTATCTAGAGTAACCTTAAGTGCTATTACATTTGTAATAAATAACTGGAATATGATGCTTCCTTTTTGAGGTAGCAGTGAGTAGGTTGAAGATCTCTGCAGTCTTCTTTTCCAGAATCAACAGATGAGACCAGTGATGTATTTTTTTTAAATTGGTGACTAGTTCTGCTTGTGCATGGGTCAAATCACCAAACCAAGTAACTGAACTTCAGTATAACTTCAGCCAAGCAAATACACTGCTGGTTGATAGAACATTATTTAATAATGTACTTGATAAATGTGCAGAATAGCACAACAATTGACATGTTTTTGTTACCTGCTTGGATAATTAATCATCTCTTAATTCTGCAACTATTTGTGAGGCATAATGATACCTGCAAATGGCCCACTTGACTTCAGTGATGGATGGATATGTTAGTGCTGGCTTTGAGCACTGAGAACACAGACAGTTCTTGTGTTGCTGGGCCACAAGCTTTTCTCATTAACACTTTCAGATTCTCTAGTGAGATCCTTAACAAGGAATTGTGCAAGCTCAGTTCTGTGGTTTACCCTGAAAGAGTTTTGTGCTCAGTAAAACTCAATAGGAAATAAAAAGATTAAGGCATCATAAGCTTTCAAGTGTGCTTCCCTCTTTTAACATTGCCTGCAGCATGCATACTCTGTCTAAGCACTAAACAAAGGCATTTAAAAAAAAATCTTCAACTGCTGTGTAATTTTATATTGAGGTAGTTTCTGACAGCAAAAGCAGTAGGATTGTGTGCATACATAATGTTGCACACCTGTGTACTTGTAGCTGAATCTGCTTACCCCCTGACTAGTGCATTGGGCAGCCTTTGTCAGAAAATGGGCACCTTTGTGCTGCTGACAGAGTTGAGGCAATCCAGTCTGGATTAAGGTAGGAACTTGCCTTTTTATTTAAGAAGTCTGAGTTTTGCTGAACTTAATTTTCTCCAGAGATCTGAGGAATCACTGTAAAATTTCAACTCCCCTTAAAATGGAGTTAAAAAACCCTCTCAGGTTTTTTAACAGATGCTAGTGCTAATGCTGTCAAATGTCCTTATATATTTCTTTGCACATCCGTTACCTTGACAGATGTTAAAAAGATGCTGTTAGATCAGTAGAGTTCCAATTTCAATGAGTTAAAATTAGTAATTTCCATCTTAGGTTTTTTTAGAGTTCTGTAGTTGTGTTTGGAATTAATTGTGAGGAATAGATACTATTTAAGCATACCTACAGTTTATAACAATACTTTTTAGCATAAGAAGTTCCTGCAAAAACAAGTGTAAATGCACAGTAGACACAGAATAAAGTGTTGCAAAATGTTCGGTATTAACAGCAAAATGTACTGTGTGTTTTTTTTCCTTTTAAAAAGCGTATTCAGTATGCAAAAACAGACTCTGATATTATCTCTAAAATGCGTGGTACTTTTGCTGATAAGGAAAAAAGGAAGGAAAAGAAGAAAGCCAAAACTCTGGAGCAGTCCGCAAATGCAGCGAATAAGAAGGTTATCCAGGTAAGCTGCTTCTCTGATTAAAAAAGAAGAAAAAAACACAAGAACTATTTTAAATTATTTTTTAGAACTAAATATTATATTTTGGTACTTCTTAATTCCCTGAATTGTGGTCTATTGATATCTAGTGCTCTTGAGCACTCACTAGAAGTTGAAGGAGAGGGGCCTTATTATATAGTCCTTGCTGTTCTTTTGTTTTTTTTCCTCCTTTCCTATTACCAGGTGAAAATAAAAGATATAGGGCAAAAGTACAATAAGCCAAAGTAGAAACTAACCTCTTTTTAAAAAAGGAAAAAAAGGAGGGGTGTGTACTTTGCTTTAATGCCAGCTTCAAGTGCTCAACCAGCTTTTCCCTGCAGTTTTTTAATGACCTGTTTGCTCTGTAAGCACTGAAGAACAGTAAATGGGAACACAATAATTCATTTACAGGTAGATGAAAAGGAGTTGGCTTGGAACATACCTCCACTAAGGGTTGGCCTGGCCTAAACTACCAACCTTTAGGAACTCATGTGCTGTGGACAACTCGATGGATAAGCAATTGG